ATCATTCGACCCAACCGACTCTGTACTGTACCTTCCTTTCAGAGGTTACCCCTCACTCACCATTCATCTCTACGGCAGCTGCTCCTCCTTGGTCAGGGACGCGGCTCTTTGACTTCACTAAACACCACTCACTCCCCTGGCACTGTAACTGCCACTCTGCGGATTTCTGACAGAGACCGCACACCTGTCTTCTGATGGCGGCGCACAGAAGACTCCCTTCCCTCCCACAGAAGAGCTCTGCCTCCCCTCCCACCACCTCCAGGACCCAGACCAGACTCCTGCTGCCTTCCTCCTGGCTGCTCTTATACTCCTGCCCATTAAGACGAGGGCGTGGCCAGTTTCACTCAGGGCCTATCAGAATTGCTCCTCTCTCTCCCTGTGGTAGAGGACCCCCCTAAATTAATGTTATTATCCCATGAAACTAGGTGTGCCTTGTTATTAATTCGGCCTTTCTCCTTGATTGGGGGCTATTAAACAAAGCCAACCCCTCACGACCTCGCAGGTCACAGCTAGGTTTCAATGTCTGCTGTGGGAAAACAAGTCCATGGAATCATTTCCCTCAGTGTATAGAAACACTGGTAAATGTCTCACCACAACTACACATGTAACCTCATGTAAATTCTAACCTCCTCTGTGTAGAAAAGCCACCTCAGAGCTGAAATATGCTACCACTACCCAGATGACCTGAAGGAGCTGCCTTTCACGCCCAGAAATCAAATCTTTACACTCTCCCCCCCGAGAAACCATTCTTTTCCATTATGTTCTCTCAAACATCTGTCAACCTTTCCCGTCACTGCACCTGTTTCGAAAAAAAACCAACCAAATTTACAGTAAACCTTGTTGTTCCTGTTGCCATGGCGACGCCATAAACCTCCTCCTGACCCACAAGCTTCGCCATGGCAACCTGGACAGAAAAGAACAGATGATCAGAACGCGCTGTTAGGAGACGATTAAAATAAGCATTTTATAGAAGAGACAGCTGCAGTGGAACTGAAGTGACGCGCGCACACAGATTGTTATCATTTAACTGGATATATGCATGTGTTTCTACGACACTAAACAATTTCCAACCTAGCTGTCAGCAATACAAGTTCCTCTGTGGTCTGTTTTGGATACAACACAGGTGAACAATCTTCCATGGTACTTATTAAGCCAGAACCAATTTTTATTACTTTAACAAATGGCATTCCGCTTGAAGGTTTTTATCAAAATACTTAATATCAGGATTTATTTAGGAAAGGTGAGCAGTGTCCTAAAAAAAACTAAATATTTTCTCTTTACTAACTGGAAATGATCTCTTATGCATCTAAGACACCAAATGAAGCACTGATCTTCAGTAGCTCACATCAACATATACATGTAAAAATGCTAGCCTCTAACGTTTGCCATTAAAAAGCTTGCAGGATCATCTGAACCTCATAAATCACCACACAGTAATACTCTGGGATTATTAAATACACATACAGTGAGGCCACAGACTAACAATAGAACAAATTCTTAAGGGGGAATTCATTCAGGTTTTTTAAACCCTGAAAAGCAAGGTACAACTCAATGCACAGGGCATCTTCAGGCACCTGAAGCACATGTGAGAAGTAAGTTCAGGAGCATACAGGATAGAAAACAAGAGACCTGTTTCTGTGGGAGTCCGTAACAAAAGCCCTAGCCACATTGCTGAAGCCAAACCAATAAACTCCTTCCAGAAACGGCTTGATGACATTTGTGGTTCAAAAGCGCAAGAAGACAAATAGCACACATGGGTGTGTGTTTTGTTTCCAGAGACTCCTATTAAAGCAGAATAAAATAGCTTTAGAGCATATACTGTAGGTTACCATAGACGGCAAATGGATGAAACACACGCAAGAGATTTAAATCGTATTTCGCAAAGGAATGTATTAACATGTAACTAAATGGAACAAGTATTACGTTCAGTAAAGTATGTGCTTGGAGTACAGATTGTGCAATTTTATATTTTTTACCCTAAAAAAAATCTCATCTGCGGATTATAAATTGGGAAATAAAGTGCCCCTACTGCAGGGGTGTCAGAATCAGTTCCTGGAGTGTCTTCTGGTTTTTGTGCCACCCGAATTCTCGGTTACATTAAAGGTCTAATTGTTTCATTAACTTCTAACCAGGATTAAACGCGTTTTCTAGGTAATTGTAATTTAACTGGAGCGCATTTTTACAGTCATTAAATGAAATACGTCTAATTAGAAAATAGAAATTAATTAGTTTTTATTCATTAGAAAATAAGGTAACTGTTTTATTGACTACTCACGTTGGACTGAAAACCAGAAGGCCCTCAAGGAATTAAGTTTCTCACGTTTCATATATGCATGTGCCGAGAGATCAGCGCGATTAAGTATTCCAATGTACAGTACATGTACATATGGAAATAAAGTCTTCTACTCTCTACTTCAGTTGAGTTAGTTTGAACCTTACATATGATCTAAACCTATGATATACAAAAGGAAACCACTCTGATCTTGCGAGGACAATATGCAAGTTTTGAGAGTGTATAGAAAAAGAACGACTTTTACACATTTGGGGACTATAATAGTTGGGTTTCGAATATCATTCAATTACATTTTCCTTTGCTGTATCGGCCTGTACAGCATGATAAGCCTAAACAAGCTGACTTTATTCATTTTAAAAAGTTTTTTTTCGGCATTCTTTATATTTTGATAACTTTTGTGACGTGAACACACCATTGTATAATATAGTGTCAATTTGTATTCAGTGAAAATGATCTCAAGTAAAATGATCTGCTTTGTTTTAATAAAAAATAAAGATTTGAATGAACGAAGACTTGCCTACTGTACTTCCCAGATACCAGTCTGTGCTATCATCGAAGAGGCTGGTTAAAGTACAGCGCTGTTACTGATTAAAATATCAGGCCGCTATTAAATATTCATTTTTGCAGTCCTGATAAGTTGCTCAATTTGTTCTGAACAGGCAATACAAACAAGTATTCCATTGTCAAGATACAGAGAGCTCTGTGCCTGGCAGCAATACTAATAAAATGTGCAAATACTCAAGCCCAGACAAACTCCCCGAGGAGTCAAATCTGTAACTCGGGAAACGGTGCTGTGCGACTCCAGCTCAAACACTTTCTGAGAGATCGACTTCTACAGCTCTAAAATAGCCGTAGTAGTGAATAGTGACCGGGTTGAAGACTGCAGCAATTACGATAATTCGGTTCAAGGTATCACTTCTACCCAGGCGAAGTCAAACTAGGCTTCCGCCGAAAGGGGCCAGAGAAGTATCTAAAGAAGTACTTTAGAAATATAAAATCATGTGGCAAAGTCCTTCAGAAGATTTGACCAGAACAGGAGTTAAATACTTCGCAAGACACAAAGGCGAGGTAAGCAGCCTTCGACTTCAACATTTCAACATTCTTGATACGCTTTTCTTAACAAACGGGCAGGAGTACTTGCACTCGCTGAGTAATTACTAAAATCCTATGTTTTACGATACGAGGTATTTAGGAGTTCCATGGGGGCATAAATGATTTAATGCATCGAACGCGCATTATCCTTGATGTAAATAAATCTTTATGGTCCCTCACCTTTTCACCTTATTCAATAGCCTGTTATAAATTGACCATTAAACATCGTCCGTTACTTGTCTACCGATAAAATATGCTAAGGGTTTCAAATAAAAGCACATTTGTGCTTGCATTTTTGGAATACGAATTGCAATAATAATGCAATGCGTGTTCGCCAGCCGGTGTACTGTAATAAACAGTTTTCTGTTTTGTATTTTGTTTTTTCTTCCTTGTATTAGTTGTTCAGCGTGATCAAGAGTGATCTGTTGTCACTTTTGCTATTCGTGATCATAATTTCCAAAAGTCGGATATATTTCATCTGACCATTTATCTCTTCAAGTTACAATTAAAATTGTAGAATTTTAAAGCGTCAAATTTGAAGGTGTTTATTATAGAGCGGATTTGTTTTAAACCATCTCTGCAGTAATGTTGCGATGTTAAAAACGCTGTCTCCTGCTGTGCTCTTCCCAGCTGAACTCATGCGTGTTCTCTCCGGACTGCCAGATTCTCCTCACCTGCTCGGACGACTGTCGGATTTTCCTCTGGAATGCCGCGACTGGACAGCTTCTGGCCAAAGTCACCGGACACACGGGTGCGCGTTGTCTGGTTTTTTTTTTTCAATATTTTGACTTTTTTGCGCAAGTTTAAGATATGCACTTTGTTGAGTAATTCAAAGACACGGTGGAGTTAACCATGCACAGTTGAAGACAGACGGGGGCGGATTTATTATTCACTACTGGTTACTTATTGACGATGGCTCTCAAAATGTTTACAGCACTGTGGCCAGTGGCTACGGGCGGATTAGAAAATAGGATATTTCATTGGAAGTTGTGTGTTGATGTAGTCTTTTCTCTCAAGACAGAAGCTTAAAGTGTGTGCGCCGTTTCCTGCGATCAAGACTCTGCAGTCTTGGAAAAGTTTTTGTTTTTTTACGGTGTTCATCTCTGGTTGGGATGGCTACGACCTTTTTTAAACATGTTGTTCTTCCCCGTTCTTCTGCTCTCTGTGATCAGCAAGTCCTGCTCCCAATACAGAAAACAGAGCTCACAATTGTGTGCTAAAGACCTGAACCTAATGTACGCCTACTGTAGGTCCCAGTACTGTGAAGCAGCGATGGTAACCCGTGTTGCTCAGGGACTTCATCAAGTTGCATGTATTCTGTGGTCGTCTGTGGGAACCTGGGATTCAGGTTTTCTCTTCTGTCTCAAATCCCTGTCGCAGGTCCAGTGAAGTCATGCGTCTTTTCTCCGGACTGCACGCTGTTTGCCAGCTCATCCCATGACCGCACGGTCAGAGTGTGGCACACGGCTACAACGCAGTGCCTGCGGGTCTTGACAGGTATTTCAGCCGGCACTGTCTGCGCACAAAACCAGCACACGCATTCTACCGGCGCTTTCTTTAGGAAGAATCCCCGATGAACCAAAATCGAGGCTAAAACAGCGCCGTGCTCTCCTTGGGCCCGATCTGGAGTGCTGTGGACATTTCTGGTCTCCACATTACAAAAAAGAAATAGGAGCTTTTGAGAAGGTCCAGAGAACATGAGCTCTACATGTTGTGGGGATAAAGGGTGTCACTTATGTGGATGCACTTAAGAAACATGTTATTTCTAGTGTTAGTATTCAATGGTTCAAATTCAATGTTTTTTTGGCTTTATCTTTAATGTGGATAAACATGGTTGATCCCAGCATGTGTGCATCCATTTTCTAACCGTTTCACCCAGTTCAGGGTTGGGGGAGAGCTGGGACCTATCCCAGCAAGCAACAAATACATTTTGCAAATGGAGTACAGGAACACAAATGCCACCCTTGTTCATAGCTAATTGCATATTAATAATAGAAAACACTTTTAAATTCATGAAATAGACTAAGGCACATTGGGGCTCCACAGGGTAAGGCATTTATTAGGTTTTTTGTCAGCTAAAAGTTTACCGAGACAGAAATGTCCTTGAAGGACCCTGAGGAATCGGGTTAACTGTCTGGTTTGGTAGATCATATCATCAGTGGCCTTGAAGTGTCGTCTTCAGAACTGACGTTGTTGTTATCAGATCCCACCTCTTGCTATGTTCAATATGGATCACAGGTCACAGCAAGAGTGTGGAAACAGTCTGCTTCAGTCCTGATGCCAAGTGGCTCTTGTCAGGAGGCTGGGACAAAACTGCTATTCTGTGGGATGTGCAGGTAAGATATTGACAAGAGTACTGACTGTTGTACGATTAGAAAACGTATCAAAACTGAAGAAGCTATGAAGACCTTTATGTTACATCAATAGCATTGATCTATCACGATCTCACAAATTTATTAAAACTCCCTGAAAGATCAACATCCACTGGCTGTCTTCTCTGTGAAAGAAAAGTGCCTCCCATTTTTGTAGCTGGACGTCCTCTGTATTTACTGATGCAGTTCACAGCTCTTTGTTTATAGGTGAACGAAGCTTCAACTAATTTTTGCAGTTCTCATGCTGTCACTTTGGGTGATGTGTAAAAAAATGACAATTAAGGTGACTAAATTTCCACTGATTACTGATTTATCCCAGGCACTGGCTTGTGATTTTTGGGTGAAAGTGCTCAGGTTGCAGTTTTATATTATGTGAAGATTGAGGGGGGAGATCATCAGTGTGTGTGGGCTACAAAAGAATTAGAAAAGGTTAATTCCACACTTAAAGGAAAAAGCAAGATAAAACATAACGATTTTGCAGTAGAGCCTTCTTTAGCCTGAAGAAGGTTCCAACAGCTAAAATGTTGTTTCTGCTTTCAACTTTTCAGCATAGAATTAACATTTATTTTCTGCAGTATCAGGGGTTGCTATAAAAGTAAATTACCTGTGGAACATATATGATCTATGTCATTAAATAATATAGTTGTGCTCCAATTACATGTGAAGTGCCAGTTCAGTCAGTAATATTGCCGGTATTTGGCAGGAATGTACCTGATCCAAAGTAGAATATGACTAAATCAGCAGACATGCTAAAGAACCACTTTTCGGTTCCTGCAGTTTTTTAAGGTGATGTTAGAGCCATGACTGGGTACCACAATCAAAAGGTCATCTTTGTGATTGTTTTTTTCCCCGCAAAACATCCAGAACCGGACTTCTTTGTCACCAACATTTAGATGCTTCCTCCTGTGCTGTCGTGTGCTCTCTGGTCCAGAGTGGCAGAACCAAGCGTTATCATGTGTCACTATGTGCTTCCCACCCTCAGTTTGAAATCTATTGAACACATCAGTAGATCGCCTCTGTCTGCTTGCGTTGTGGTCTTTGCGGAGTATCTGTGGAAGCCATATGGCTTTGTCCTTTCACTGTGCAGCTTACTACAGGTGCCACTATATAAAGGCCTAGAATCTAAGCTAATGTCCCCCGTGTGGGAGGATCATCAGGATTTAAAGTGCCCAGGTGCTAGCGAACTTCACAAAGAAAGCTGAATCAGTTGAAGAGTCTTTGTTAATCAGAGCGCCCTCATTTCCCTGATGTTGGTTCTAATTCTAGACTGGAGAAATCGCCAGAATATTCTCAGGACACCAAGGGGCAATTCAAACCAGCATGTTCTCCCTGAATTCTCAATATGTGGTAATTTTTCTTGACTATTTCATTTGATTTCTTTCTTTAAGTTGGACTGAAAATGTACAGCCCAGCCCCAGATGACTAATCTTACCTCTGTCAGTAAATGAGAGTGTTACTTTACGTGTGCAAATTCATATTACATTAGTCTGAGACGAATGTTCTAAGAATTTGCTCATTCTTGATTTGCTAAAGGTAACATTAAAGGGCAACATTTATTATTTAAAAGGATAATTAACCTGTCTGTTGAAATACTGTTTTCTTTACCAAGTGGAACAGTACCTTTGTTTCCACATTTTAATTGCTAGTTCGTCAGAAAGCAGATCGTTGCCTACATATTCCACTGGTAACGTGAGATGAAAAGGGCAGCCCAGAGCTGGCTGTGCCTTTGTAAACGAGTTAGGCCAGCAACAGTCCTTGGACTGCGGTCCCTGTGTTGATTCAAAAGGGAAGTCTTGTAATCTATCCCATGTTGCCCCCGGGCTCAAAGACGTTGCAGATACTGTTCTAGAACTCACCATTCCTTAAAGATGCAGTACAGCTCTCAGCTGAAAACAAATATTGTAAGAAATTTATGAATTAAGACAAGCAATATAAGGAGATTAGTCAAGTACAGTCCCCCAAAGTGAATTTGAAGCCATTACTATGTACAGAATATGGGAAGGGAAGTTTGTTATGTACAGCGCCCTGTTTAAAATAATAAACCTACATGTTTGTGTTGTAAAATATTGAATGCAAAAGGCTCCTGTAGCATACTCTTCTGTTACTAATTGTATGACTGATTGACCACACCCGAGATTTCCAATCTTTCTGTCTCCCCCTAGGCCACAGGTTCGTGGGACTACACTGTCAAGGTGTGGAGTCTCCGCGCACAGGAGCGAGAGAAGACTCTGGAAGGACACCGGGGAAACGTGAGCTGTGTGTGTTTCTCTGTGTCAGGGATGCTGGTAAGCGCTGACTGACACTCTCACCAGATCTTTGTATAATGTAAACGTGTGTAACTCTACCAGACACTTGGAATGCACTGTGAAATAGTGTTGAAAATGTCCAGCGAAGCAAATAATTTAGGTTTATTTGGTATTACGCGGAACATGGCGTGAAGATCAGAGGACACGTTTTTCACAGGACTGGAGGACGATATGCTTGATCTGTATATTCAACTTCACTGTGGTTGATATTCAATGTCTCACTGTGACCTAGAAAATGCGCCTTCTTTTTGCATACCACACTGGAATGTTATTTTTAATCGTTAAAATGGAAATGCATCTTTTCAACCACTAAACTGTAATATACACTATACTATAGACTTGCACCAAATCTAGACCTCCAGCACTGGCACACTAGAAATACACCAATCGCAATGGAAACAAACAATTCAAGATCTTATCAAGAAAGAAACTTAATACTGTGGCTTCCAGCCCTGCCAGAGAGCTGGGACTGTTCTGTTTGGTTGTGTGTGGGGTGCTGGGGCTCTGTTGTAAAGGATCATATGATCGAGAGCAACGTGATTCACTCTGTTTGGGATGGGGTTCTGGCTATCTCACCTCAAGAAGTTAGGTACCGGCCAGTGGGGGTGGGGGGAGGGAGAATCCCAGATCTCGGGTGTACATGAGTCCTGTCGGCTCTGTAAACGGGGTGCTGAAGGCCCTGCTGGGGTTATATACGGATGTCTAATTAATGAAAAGCATAACATGCATTGGGCTGGTATCTCCGAGATCTCCAGAAGGTGCCTCAGCCCCATTACATAGGTCCTACGGGACTATAAGACCCTGTAAGGCAGGCAGCCGAGCTGAGGAACTGACCTTGTAGAAGGAGAGCATGTTGTTCCAGGCGTCAGGGTCGTGGGACAGGACAGTACGGGTGTGGCACCCCAGGCTCGGGACACTGCTCTTCTTGCTGGAGGGCCACACAGGATGGGTGAAGAACCTGGCCTTTTCCCGAGACGGGATAGTCCTTGCATCTTCGGGAGATCACGACAGGGTACGGTCCCGCCGCACCGAACACGGGAGAGTTCTGGAGCCCAGAGGAGTTCGCTTCTCTGTTTTTTCCCAAAGGTAGCAAGTTCATACACCGCGACTCACGATTATGGCCATACAACGACTCTGTAAAACATGCGATTGCCTTGGCAGAGTTTGCTGAAGTGCTCCAGGTTTGAGTGGGAATTCGGTGACACACTTCGTGCCTGTAGAGTCAGGCCGCGGGCGCTGGGGTGCAGTCGGTGTGGAGCTGGTAAGCTCTCCCCGTGATCGCATGGGTTGACACTGGTGACACTGGTGGGAATGTGTGCGTTTGCCCTGCCATGGCCTGGCGCCCCATCCTGGGGACCCCGACCGTGCGCCAGTTGCTAGCTGGGATAGGCACCGGTGCCCCCGCGGCCCTGAATTGGATCAAGTGGTTAGAAAACGGAAGGAGGGACTTTTAAAGGATGTTTAGGTGGGGATCACACCCTAACCTCACCCACTACTGCTGACCCAACTATCATCCTTCCAGCACACCTGTGCATCTGCGAATCCCTCCCTCCACCTCAGCATCACCCTGCCACAACTCACAAAGGGCTCCCTCAGCCAGGCAGGTTAAGGCATTAAGTGTAATTCAGTCTGGACCAGTTACGCCTCAATTAGTGTTTGGCCAAACTACTGAATTGCCTTTTGACTTTGTGCAACCATTCCGAAACCTTTTTTTTTTTAGGTCAGACTTTGGGACATGTCTAATGGGCGCTGTATCAAATCCCTCAAGGTGCGTTTGTTTTTAATATTGACACTCTTTTTAAGATCATTATCCTAAATACCATATTTACCTATTCACCTATTACTGGTAATCACCCTCTAACACCAGAGCTTGAAGGAAGAGAACTGTGGTCACTTTAACCCAAATCACACACTGTAAAACACTGCATTTTTATGCCACTGCAAAATTCGCCACAAGAGTTGAGATGTTTTCTAGAAGAGTAACGTGGATTATTAGTCTCTATAGCATGTCTACGATCAAAATGTACTGAAAATTGAAGGATGTTCATCTGATAAATTTAATGTGATCTTAAAAAAAAATCAGATTCAAACTTTTTTCCTTTACACAAACATACCCACTATAGTTACAAGAACGTGCTGTAAATACTGGCATTTCACATGCGTCATTTTAATATTTTGTGGCATTTTAATAAGTGCCACATCCAAGTGCTTTGCTATTTTCAAGGATACAAAAAACACAAGTCAATATTCCCTAAAGAACGTACATATTCAGAACTTGAATACGTTGTATTATTGTTAATGAAAGAATTGAACAATTTTGGTTTTCCTTGGAGATCTCCTATCCTTGTACTGACCAGGTCTAGAACTTCTGAGATCTGACTAGACCAGACTACAACATGGTGACACTGCTGTCATGAGCTGTGTGGCTAATACTTGATGGGCCTACAACAAGATCCCTGCCTTAAATACATGTAGCAGTCGGTCTAAACCAGAAAAGGAAATTGGGAGTGAAACAGAAAAGGCACAGGTCAATTTTCAGTGTTGCTGTTACCCCCCAGTTTGTTACAGCATAATGCAGCAGCAAGAGCAACAGGATTAAACGGAATGACTAGCTGTCAAGATGGTAATAAAATAATAAAACATACGTGTGGCGGACAGAGGAAAAACTGTGTTTTCTGTTCCAGGTGCACGCTGGTCTAGCTCACGGATGCAGCTTTGCGCCCAGTGGGGCCCTACTGACCACAGGACCTGCAGATTTCCTCCTGAAAGCTGGCAACGCCTCCGAGGAGCAGGAAGCAGATCAAGCACAGCAGCCGTGAACAAAACGCCCCCTTTTAACACCAACAATTCTGTATTCCTCATAGTCAATGATGGCAGCCAACGGCAGTCACGCAGGGCATTCCTGTGGCTTGACGTATGCCTTTTTGAAGATCAACTCATCTTGAAAGGTATTCGGGTCAGCCAGATTGCGCACTCCCAACAGCTCGAGAGGCTGCGACGAGATCAACTGCGTGGCTTAACGTCTCATGATCACGTGCAAACAACCCGTGCTGCATTCGTTTTGCCAGCACAGGAGTGTTCTTATAGGAGGGACAGAAAAATCACTCAAGACAAGTTCAGCCACCTGAAGTGAGTGCTCTAGGAATATGCAGCCAAGATCCTATAAACCAAGACTGGACAATTCCTGTCCGTGCTGGTCTTAATACCACAGACACTGCTCATTTACTAAAATCTAAGAAGGCAGTCAGACCTCTTACCCAGGTAAACAGCTCAATTACATAGAATTAGACGTGATGAAAACCAGGGGTCTTACTGCTGAACAAAATGAAGCATTTCAGCAATCACTCAAATCTGGAAGAACCCATCTAACAGAATTTTGTCAAGAGGCTACACGAGAGCGCATTTTCTTAGATTGAAGCTCACGGCAAGCGAAAATGTTGGAAGTCGGAACCTCTGAGCAGTCCCAGTCTGCTAAAACCGAACATCTGGAAGAGCCCCGTGTAAAACATGGTGTTCCCGACGAGCATATTTTGCTGCTATGGAAAAAATGTTTTCCATGAAGGCTGTTTTCAGTTTCGTCTCAACCATGCACTTAATGCGGAACAAAAAGAAACTGCATTCGAAAAAGGGGGTTCTGGTTTCCTTTAGGTTTGAATTTCTTTCAAGGTACAAGTAATGCATACCTAAGCGCATTTTCAACCCAAGTCACCCTGTAGGACCACATCTTTATGTTCTCATAAAATACTTCCAACAAGCCTCAGCTCTCCATCGCATTGACAGGCTTGTCTGGGGTGAAAGATGGCCACAGTACATAGTCCTGCGTTTGACATTCCCATCATTTTATATGGAGACGCCAAGGCCAGCTCAAAATCGGCACTGCAATTAGACCTGGAGTCTACATTTCAGTTTCGCCATGTCCCTAAAATGTTTCCAATCAGTCTTTGGAAGATGAATCTCACTACCAAGTATCTTAAATTTCTGATCTTAATTCAGCCAACGACTGAAAGAAAAGTGTCCAAATATTCAAGCTATGTAATGTCTTATCCTTTGTTGAAGGTTAGCAGTTTAATAAAAAATACAATGTCTCATTTTAAGCGGTCTTTTCTCAAATGTCACTGAAAGATGACACAAATAAAGGTTAATTCACAGAAATGGCTGAGAAATTACTGTCAGTTAAATTCACCTGGCACTGCTTGCTTTGCCGAGACCCTCACTGCTACACTTTCCTCTGTGGAAGAGCAGGTCTCCAGAGGGGGTACGAGCTCACTTCCCTTGCATGTAGACAAGCTGGGGTTGAAACTGCTGCCGCTCACCTGAACTCGGGAAATTGCCCGACTCCCTTGGCCACTCCACAGCAATTCCCACCCTTCGGGATGGAAAATAAAACGATATCTTCCATATAGGAAATGTTAAATCTGGACTTTGTTTTCCTTTAAACAAAAGGCCCCAAAACAATAAGTCTTAACGACATCCCATCCTACAGAACATCCCTGCCACACGAGGATGGAGCCGAGGTCGGAATCTAGGAGAACTCGCATTGTCCCCATTGACACAGCCAACACTTTAACCAGAGAATCTAGCCAAGTGGTTTATTTCAATCAAATATGTACACTGAACAACCATGAGAACGTCTTTGTTTCGGGCTTTTATTTAGCATGATTCAACAGTGCTATGCCTTGACGGCGAACTTGCGGAGGGGGTACAGACGCTCTTTCCGCTGCTGTTTCTTGGTCTTCAGACTCTCCTCATGCTTGTTGAGCCGGCGGCGGATGGCGCGCGTCTTCTTCGGCCTCAGGTCCAAAGGCTTGTACTTCTTGCCCTGAACGAAAGCACGGTTACTTGCGCCTGAACAACCAGTCACGCCGTTTCTACACCAAGTCCTTTCATCGGGACCGCCACCATCTGTTTCTTTAAAAAGCATTTCACTGTGTAACAACACTCCCAACAACCCCCAGCTCTCAGCACAACATACGGCATCGATTAGTTACATATTACACAGAAGTAGTTATACAATGACCAAAGGACTTTAACAAGTAGGCGAAGCACTACTTTTTCTTTTTCCCCGTTTACAACCATTTTTTGTGCAATATATGCCAGGGACCTGTGCAATACATTTATATTTATATCTATATTTACATCTATATTTATATTCATGTGTGTGATACGATTTTTCTGTGTACTGTTCTGTTCTAGTTTGTTCTTTGTGTGTCCGGACTGTGAGTAACTCTTGTATTGTATGTATTGTACTATTATTATATAATTCGTTACACTCTGGCTGTGTTGTGTGTGTTAAGCTGCTGTTGCACTGCAATTTCCCTCACGGGATCAATAAATCTATCAATCAATCTAAGCACAAAACAAGAACAAGACTAATATAAAACCATCCTTTTTAAAATTCCGGAACACGTGAAACTAAAATGTTTGTCAACAATCTGGTGGAAATATTATGACTCTAAGGCCTGCTTAGAATGGAGTAACTTAAATTCAAAACCCAGAGCACAATGAAAAATCAATGTTTGCCAGAGATACACAATTACAACACAGCAAGTTCTTTCACAGTGACAAGTACTATAGAACACCATCACAGAATTGTCAAATACACTTTTTACAGATATAGCTTTCATGCCACAGCCAACATCACTATACTCTCTTAGCTGACACTCACAAAAAGCAACTTTCGCTTGGCCATTTATAGATCTGGACACTTCACTGAACCAATCCCGAGTGAACTACCTGGTACAACAGCGGTGTCTCGCCTGGGATTTCAATCAACAAGCTCCTCACCACAGCTGTCATTGTGCCAAATCATCCTTACTTATCAAAGGTGCTAAAACTGTAAACTTATCAACCTTCTGGAAGAGGTAAAGGGAGCTTCACTTCCTCCCACTGACAGGCCATTTATACCTGAGGGAGGTGATTAAAAAAGAACTAATTTCCATTTGGTGGTGGCGGTGGTGGACGGGAGTCTCCATTACCTGTAAAGCACTTTGAGTGGAGTGTCCAGAAAAGCGCTAAATAAGTGTAAGCAATTATTATTATTATTTGTGTATCTCATTCAACTTGGCAGGGCAGGGCAGGGCAGAAGGGAATAAAAAAAAAATGTATCTGCATTTTGTTCCATTGAAGGAAAAAAAAATGATTATCAAAAAGACCATAGTTCTAGATAAAGTATGAGCACACTGAAAATGACGGATGTAGAAAATGATCTGGAATTGCAGTGTAACCAGGCAAAGATCAGGATCATTGTAGGAAATTTCAGGAGAGGCAGTCCAAAATGTTTTTGGGGGCATTTAATGAGGATTCTGGACAGCTTAACTCCTAGGCACACTGAAAAAGTGTAATTCACATTTTTTAAAGAGTGTTAAATGTACTGCCGGGGCTTGAAAACACATCAAATGGCTGGCTTTTTGTAAAAGGGGGACTACATGCCTCCCCGCCACAAAACTGACCTTGGATCAGTCTTTTTTTAATCAATCTGTTTCTGCAGAGCAGAAATCAGTCCGTTTGAGAGGTGTCCCTCCTCAGCAGCATGTATAGCCAGACAAGCCGGCCAGCAGCACTGCTTAGGAGGTGTTCATGTAGCAAGAACTAATTCACACTGCGTCTATGGGAACGGAGAGCAGCGCTGGGTGTTTGTCTTGCAGACCAGAACAGTATGGAAAGGTGAAGTTTGTGTCTCAAGGTTGGGGTATGCACCTTCTATCATATCGCCTACACCACTTCAGCAACACCAGAAACGCTGGAGTGTTTCTCCAACGGCAAATGGTCGTTTCAAGCTGAACAACCAACAGAACTGGGAAATGCCCATGAGTTTTGTTTCCAAGCACAGCCTGGAAATAAGGACAGGAATGGAAGGCTTAATTTGTCAATGTTCAAAGGCTGTGTCAGTTCTCTCTGAAGTAGGATGGTGTTGGGAAGGATTATGCATTTTCAGATTTATCTTGGAAAGTAAGTTTTAAAACACTGCTGTACTCCCCAGTATTTAGTGACTTTAAAGTGACCATCTTCCTGAGAGAAGTACAATAGTTATGTCCCAACTCTTCTGCTATAAACGTACTCACTGTTGTATAGATCTGTTGTATTGAAATCTGCAAGAACTGTATTGGACCTCTGCAAATACTAAAACATTAAGAGTCAGGGGAATATGAATGTACAGTTTAATTACAAATTCCCTAATCCATTAAAAATGCAATAATTAAGTGTCTAATTCCAATTTCTACTTGTGGATATTCTTGAGTATACAACACAGAACAGACTATAACACTAAAGACAGGGGAATTCTTCAGAGAGTGTACATTTAAAAAAAAAAATTCTACATATTACACTATGATTACAGTTAAATGACCAGAATCAATGCTTTTTGCTTGGAAGTAAACTTCAAGAACTAAAGTCATAAACCTCTACTATGGCCAAACCTTCTGTGCTAAAACACTGCTGACTACACAGAATCTCTGCTCACAGTCCAGGTCATTTATGCAGTGGCTTGAATGCTCCCCATAATAACTCACCTTCTGCTTGAATTTCACCATCTAGCAGTGCTGAAGTTTATTTCATCCTAAGACCCAATCCAATGAATGCAAAAAAAAAAACCAACCAGGAACTGGTTTGAAAGAGAAAAGCCCAGCTGTCAGACCATTACTCACGGGTTTGTAACACCACTGGCAGTTTCGACTTGACTGAAATACCTTGTTGGCTTACGGTGTTTGAACCCACTGGACCAGTACTGCGTATTTCTGAACATGTATACCAAAAGAGAACAATACTCCTATCCATCCTGTACAGCGGCAGAGTACTTACCTTGTAGAATTTCCTCAGATTCTCCTTCTGTGTCTGATTAATGACAGTCAGAACTCTGGCGATGGACTTGCGCACGACACGGCTGAAAGACAAAAGCATTGCCCTTGAAACGTGCCGTCCTCCTGGACACCTCATTTGTCCTCCAACACCCAAGCAGAAAGATTCAGGACTTGAGCTTTCATCTAGCTGCCTACAGTTATATCAATCAGCAACTAACAGCTGGCAGCCCACTGATGCTCAGCAGGTGTAAGCCTGGCCAGTACCTGGATGGGAGTCCCATATCTACACATCACTTAAAGAGTCATTTTGTTGTAAGGAATTATCGACAAACTGTTGTAGAATTGACAGATAATACTGCATATTCACCTACACGAGCACCACATTGATCTCGGGCCTCAACGATTCAATGCTGAACCTAAATTTGTGATGGTACAAAAGCTGAGGGATTCCACAGAGTTTAAGTGAAAAACCTTGTTTAAATCTAAAAAAAGATTTAGTCAATATAAGTGGGTTTGAACTGGGACTTGAAATCAGAAGCAAATATGACAAGGAAAGGAAACAGGACAAGATGAGCCAACACTGAGTGCCAGTCCTGGGGACTCTCACTGAGCAACAGTTTAGTTCATCTGAGATTGCAAAACACAGATGGCACACAGCATCATCTTCTCTGTTACAGACTAATTTTGAGTCCCTTTTGCTTTGCTATGACACCAGTACATCCTGCACGGGAACCTTTAGTTTAACATGATTTTGAGCAAAACGCCAAGAAATAAGGGGTCTCAGTCTCCTCGTCTTTGAATCTCGTTAAAAACTGCCGGGTCACATCGACATAAAGCCTTTCGGCCGCACGGTGCGCGGCGACGACGACCCCCATCGGCCTCCGGGACTTACATCTTGGAGAGCTTGGAAGCAGCTCCCCCGGTGACCTTGGCAACGCGGAGCTGGGAGAGTTCCACCTTCAGGTCATCCAGCTGTTTCAGCAGCTCCTCCTTCTTCTTTCCGCGCAGGTCTCGGGCCTTGATCTTCGCCTGGGCACCGGGACAGACGGCGTTAACACACAGCCCCGCGCGTCCCCATCATCTCCTGCGCGATCAGCCTCAGAAGCTAAAACTACAAATTCGCTAGGCCAACACCCGGGCTGCGGAACCATGACACCCTGCTCATCTCTTGTGACCCCAGCTCAGGTGTTAGAGCCATCAGGCACCGGTTAGAAAAGAACACGACCACTGTTCACAGCATTTCAATACACTAATTGATACTTTTTGCATTACAATACAAAAAGTTGGCTGGGCCACCCAGTGGTACACCGCCCAGGCTCCTGAGAAGTAAGAGTGTTTGCAGGGTTTTTCCAATAAACTGTGGGGCAACAGGTACAGGTTTATTCCACACTGAAAGGAAAAGAGACAACATTTCAGCTCCACAGCCAAAATGTTCTCTTTTCCTTTCGGCGTGGAATAAACCCGGACCTGTTCCTTTGCAGCCTGTGCAAGCCGACACAGCTGGGACTGGAACTATTTCTATGGACTGGATTGCTCTCTCCAAAAGCAGATGCCTATCCAGATGCAAGGCGTTCCTGTTGGACCCACAGAACTGACACAAGTAGACACTCCAATATTTTATTGTCCCCAGTGAAGAAATGTGGATCTGTATCTGCTTTTACGTGCATGATGACAAAAAAAAAAACGTCTGTTCCACTAGCGTGAATTGAACTTTCCAAAGGTGAGCACACAAGCCTACCTACTAAAACTCCAATCAATGCAACTACAAACAAGCGGCATTATCATTGTAAATACAACTAAGTGCTTTCTTGCAGCAGAACAAGTTCCCCCCATAAAAATGTATGAGAATGTTTTAGAGGGAATCTTCTTTCTTTACACTGGCCTGCCCTGCACTTTTGTTTTTTAATAGGTTTCTGAAAGCAGGTCCTCAGCTTCGATTCAGAGCCGCACAAAACGCAGCCAGTTTTATATAGGTTGGCCAACGAAGACTAAATATCAGAAAAAAAAAAACAAACGAATAAAGCCTTCCGACCAAGAATTTTAGGAACCCCCATATTCCAATACGATCATCGCAAAAAGTTATCAAACAAACCCCGCACCACATGCACAAGAGCTGTCCATACAGCGAGATCAGATGATGCTTAAAACAAAACGGTTAACAGTATATCAATGCTATTCTATAAAAGAAGCGCTGGAGGGGAAAACGCTACGATTTATTAAGCCATGCGTTATTCTAGCCACGTAAAAGAACCCGACAGCCATAACTAGTTTATAAAGTGCCCAGTGAGAATCAATCTATTAAACGTATTATATAGAGGGAAAGTCGTGTTTCAACTGGTTTAATAACCCATCTGACTTTTAACTAAGGAGTTTACACACGCTGGCATGTGTTCGTTGTACATTATAACGTTTATAAAGCGAAGGATTAAACGAGATTGGATTTGGAAGAACGGTATCTCACCATCGTCAGTGCTGGCTGTCACAGGAAAGGAAGGCCAGAGGGTCACGGCGAAGCTCTACCGGGTTACGGGCGCTACCAACGTATTTCACAAAAGGGGGGGGGGGGGAGGCTATAGGAATGTTCCATCTGTCACTCGAATTTTAAAACCTTTCCCTTATTAACCAATGTAACATAATCATTTACTTTAGTAAAGACGCACATAATGTTGACTGTATTGTTGCAGACGCTACCGACCGCTAATCTGTATATATATATAAATCACGTTGTTGTTAGATGCAAAAGCTGACGTTTAATAAGGTTAAATGTCTCCCTAATTTATAGATACTTGTAGAGGTTACCATGTAGGTTACAAAAAATAAGTTAAAAATTTGAACACATTGGAGAGAACTATAAAATGTTTTCTGATTGTAATATCCCTGATACGTAACATATTTTCCTTTTGAAATTAGGATACTGTGAACACTCTTAAAATAAAATGTAGATTAGTGGTCTTCTGTTGAGACGTTTCAGAAGAAAATACCATTCCTCTCTATAGTTATAGAGCTATAGCATATGTGTTGTCATTTATATCACATTACAAAATACATCATTCACGTCCATTTAAATCAACACAATACAATAACCATAACAAAGCACGAAAAGTAAAAGCTGACTCGTATCTTAGCTGTTAAAATGAAATGCCCTACAACCTGCGAGGTAACCTACAACCGGGCTTCATGTGGGAAAATTAATTCAGAAGGTATTAATTTATATTCCGTACGCTCGCCATTAAAAGAGGTCTCCTAAGCGAAGTCATAAATTAGGTTCTTAATTTTATTAATAGATG